TTTTTTTTTTTTTTTTTTTGGATTATTTTTCTTCTTTTTACAAAACTTGAAACTTGAAGGACTGCTGTGTACTTGTAAATAACAAAACTATTGTGCACTTTGTGCTTGTGACGTCTCTTGTCCAAAAACGCTGTTTCCTTGAGCCCATCCCGTCGGTGCATTCTGTATCTGGTGTGTTCTCAAAGTTGGGTGTTGGAGGGGACAGTATCCTATTCACAGGGTGCACCTGAGTTACCTAGCCGACAAAATGTTAGGCTCTGCCTATCTAGTAAGACCTCAAAATCTCACTCGAGATGATGTCTTCCTGGCCAAAACCTTAGGAGGCAACATGGGCTCTCTCTAATGCCTGCCAGACTGGAATAATTGTTTAGTTTTCCTTTTTATTGTTTAATTTATTTGCACAAATTCAGAAGAGCTATTCTAACTAAATTATTACGTAGATATTGGGATTTATATTTTTCCACAGTGGTTGGGATGGGTGGGGAGGAGGAGGGTGAGTTTATACTGTACTGTTCTATATTAAGCTGCTGCCTAGTATTTGATGCCTGCAGAGCTAAAGGTGGTTGGACTGAATCCCGGAGAACATCAGTTCTTCTCATTCTGACTTTGTGATTTTTCTTTTTTTCTAAATGAATTTCTTTTGTATTTCTCTCTTGTGCTTGCATGTTTTGTACGCTCCTCGGTCCTGCAGTCTGCCCTGACAGCAAGATCGGGGACTGGGATCACTATTGTGGAAGGATAAACGCAATCAGATAGCTGTAAATACCTTTATCTAAACTGTAAAATTGCTTCCTGTATTGGAGAATAGATGCTTATCGCGAAATAACGCACAGGAAAAAGGCAGATTGCAAAGTAGATCAAAAAAGAGACAGGAATTCTCAGTACTGCATGGATTTGGAACGCGCTGGCCTTTGCTTTTGTATTTTCTGTTTGCAGAAACACAAATTGCTTTTCCTTTTGTGTCTTCATCTTTTCCTCTTTACAGTGTTCATTTTGTTTGGTAGCAAGACAGAGGGTGATAAAGGTTTTCTAAGGAAGCAAAGCCCCATTCATCTCCATGCAGCAAAGTGCTTAAGTCCTGTGGTAAATGACTTGGGCACCTGCTTAAAACTAAGCATGTGCTTTGCTGTATCTGAGCAAAGAAACTCGTGGGAAAGGAAGGGAGTGAGTAAGTGATTATCAGGATCAGGAAACAGTATTAGATCAGGCACTTAGCGACACTGGAACTCTTGTTCTGTATCAAACGTTGTTAATTCAGGTCTGTGACATTTATGTTTTCTGTACAAAACCTGTTGTGGGTCTGATCTCAGCCTGCCATTCATCCCGCAGTGCAGCAGTTTAATAGCTTTGGGAACCCAGGTAAGCAAAGCTGGCAGTAGCATCTTGTAAACACTTATTTTGGGCATTGTTTCCTCCTAACTCTGCTTCATGAACAAACAGATGTGCATTTGGAAAGTCCAGGCAGTTTGATTCAGTTGCTTCTTAAATCAAGGTCTGCTCATTCTCTTCTAAATGCCAGTTAATGTAGAGGAAGATCCCCCACCACCCCCTCCAAGAGCACAAGCCGCATTGATTTTAAATTGTACTTGTGTTCCTAAATCCATTAGGCTTCTTTGAAAATCTTCCCCTGTGATTTTTAACTGCAGTTTCCCCTTTCCTTTAACATGCACAGCTATTTGCTGACTACAGAATACAGTACCTTGTGCTTTAATGCTTGCAATATCATTTTAAGCTCTTAAAAATGTAATAAGATTATTTAATAATGCTATAGTGTATTATTTTTAATTCTGATAAGTGCACCCTGTTTGAAAGGGATATTTTGTCTTAAATTACAAAACTAAAAACAAAAAATACCACCGTGCTACATTACTTTCTAACATGATGACGTGGAGAAACCACAGGGGGTTAGGGAAAGTGGGTTTTAAATATCTGCACCATTTTGCAAAGGGATCTGTTCAAATTGAGGGGTTGGGGAGAAACTGCCCTGTGGTTCTTTCTCTGCAGAGGAACATTTTTATACATCTTTTTTTTTTCCTTTCATTGTGTTTTTATAATTTAAAAAAGAAAAACAACAACAAACCAAGCCAACTCCTGGTTATTTCGTAGTCTCCTTTCCATTTCAGCTTTTGTAAATTAGGAAATAATTCTAAAGTTACTAAGAGGATCATTTATTTAAAAGAGAACTACAATAAATAGCATATGAATTATGGGTAACATTAGATTTAACTTTTCCCACGTGAGTGGGGGAGATTCCTTGAAGGCATGGATGCAAATATAAAAATATAAAAGATCTAAATAAAGCTTATTTTAAAGTATGAATGAATTTGATGTGATTTAATTGCTTCCAAGTTGTGCTTGCTAGGCCTAGGACCCTGGCCACTAACCAGGGGCTCAAATCTGAGCTGGTCATGTCCGCTAATAATCTTGGGCGTTCTGCCACTCACCACCATGGTATCGAAAGCCCTGCCGAGTGCTCTTTTCCCCAGAACCAGAGTTTGCTTAAATGTATTGTTTTCTTTCTAGCTAGTTAGAAAGGTTCACAAAAACTGATTTCCGCAGGCAGAAACACAAGCCCCGCTTTGAAATTCGCTGCCTTTTACTTTTTTTAGATGGATTTTCAAAAAAACCCGTTTGAGCTGGGAAGCAAATCGCTGACTATTGGCAATAACTTGCCTTCTCTTTTCAAGTCTTACCTGCGCTGCCCAGTCCTTCCTTGTAGCGCTGTAGCTCATGGCCTAACTCCTTCCCGTGGCTGTTATCGTGCTACAAAAGAATTGGGACGATTCTCTCTGCTCACAACTTGCATTTGAAATTGTGATGTCAAATCGTTGCTCAGTGTGTCTTTTGCTTCGTGAAGCCCTAACCAGTGTCAGATTCCTGCGGGAGGCCGCGCTCTTCAGCTATGCTCTTACATCTGCTTTGCTTGCCCGCAGAACAGGCGCACCATGCACCGACATCAGTCAGCTCGTGCCTGCTGCTTATGGCAGATGTGCCTCAAGTCACAAGCCACCTTGTCCTGAAAGCCCTCGTTTGGTATTCTAGCCATCTGCCCTAGCTGTGAAGCTTTGATCGGCTGTGCTCTCCTAGCGCCCTCCCTTTGCACATCATAGGACGCGGTCTATATTAAGAACCGTAGGTAGCATAGGTCAGCTGTGGACATGAGAGAGTCTGCAAGGAATTGAAATGCTTCCACAAGTTTCTTTTAACTGCATCCCAAAGTCTGGGTGGACCCAAATGTTCCCCCTGCAGGGCTGAATACCCAGGACAGTACAGCAGTGTTCAAACATGTTATAACCAGAAAATGAACTGGATTAGAAATGGCATCTCCTCCCTGAGCAAAATGCAGAGAGAGAGAGAGACAAACCATGGAAAACCAATTTCAAACATGCTTTCTTTTTTTGTGTGCTCCAAGACTGGGGGTAAGTAATACAAGGCCAAATCTTCCTCCCTTTCCTAAGGGTCACGTTACCCCACATTTGAGCATCCTTCAACCAAAATGATTTCATCCTGTGCTGCTGTCCTAGCCACTAGACTGTCCTTCCTCCTGCTGCCGACAGGGGAGAGAATAGGACCCCCAGGACAACAGAGTGGTCCTGTCGGCTATTCTGTCCCCTGTAGACTTCAGTATGGAGAGGGGGGAAGATTTAATGAGGAGAATATTGTGCCAGGAGAATGGGGAAGTGGGAACTAGAGGAGGCAGAAGAGATCTTGCGATGGAGCTGCGGACAGTGGGGTAAGAGTAGGGGCAAAGAAAGGAAAGGAAGAGGAGGCACGGAAAACCTGACTTGCCTCTTCAAAGTTGGCTTAAATTGGGCCAGTTTTGAATGCACTGAATAATGCAGACCTCGGTTTACTCAAAAGCAATAGGAAGCAACCTAATCCTAGCAGAGGAGAACGTCACTGCCAGAAATACCACAATACCACGTCACTGCCAGAAAAGCCGCAGTTGCAAATCCCCCACCAAAGCAGCGCTGAGTAATATGTTTCTGGTAGTGGAGAAGGCAAAGGAGAAAAGACAAGCCTACTGCCTGAGCCCAGGAAGAAACAGGACCTGAATGGGAGGTTTGTGCTTCACCCAATGTAGCACCAGCTGTGTATTTTGAACTGTCCAGGCTTTGGGGCTTGGGGCTTTGTTTCAGGCCTCTCAATCAAATAGAGGACAGTGATTTTTATGGGTTGCGACTGGCATCGAGGATCAAGACTCCAGCAAAAGGTTAGTTGAGCAGAAAGCCTTGAGTTGGAGCAGTCTCCAGCTTTGATTTTGTATCTCTGGAGAGTGTCACGGGCAACGCCGAAATGCACGGGAAGCAGGTAAGGGATCCTGCAGTTCAGAGATCGGCGGGGACACGAAATGCAGGGAGGCAAACCTGTGGGCAAGGTGGGGCTCCCTGAAGAGCTGTGGCTGCTAAGAGCACAGAGGTTTTCCAGCGATACTGATCCTTGTCCCTCAACCTGCTGAACTTACAACATCTGACAGTGCAAGGATCAGTCTCTGCAATAGCAGGGAGTGTTGCAGCCAGGCCTGCCGGACTGGGCCAGTCATGGAGGGACCATGGGACTGAACCTGTAGTTCTTAATTGTCCTAGCA